CATAAGGCTTTGGGTTCTTTCTCGCAGTTTTTAACAAATTAACGTAGTCGGCTGGTACATTTATGACTCTTCCTGAAATCTTTCTTTCAATTGTCGAATGCATAGAATCGCATTCCATTTGTGTATGCCCCTTCTCTAAGTATTTTTGAATAATACAAACATTATTGTTAATTGAAAAATTTAAAAGGGCATTCGACAAAGTTGAATTGCGATTCTGTGCACCACAACCGTCACTGTAAAGGATAATAAGTTTGTTATTTGGATCCATGGTTGGTATGACTTTGCTAGATAAAAAGTTACAAATAATCGAGGCAAAACAGTTCGCTTTTAACTCTCCTTCTCCCTCGTGCCACAGAAAACAGTAACCATCCTTTGTATGAAGATTAAAAATAGTAAAGTTATGAAGAATCAATTTAGTTTTGTAATAAAGTGCAGACACGTTTGACTGTGGGCACAACAGAACAGATTGAAGATCCATGGTGAAAACTTGATTTAGTGACTCCTTGTCTTTTTCTTTTTCACTTCGCGCCTCATCTTTTTTTTTCTGTGTTCTTGATAAATTAGCTCTGAAACGTTTTGTGTTCGGTATCCTACACAGATGTCGCATTCGTCTTTTTTGGTACAGAATAGTGACAAATTTGATTCTTTAAAAATATATTTAAATAGGGTTAATCCAGCTGGTTCTGTTTTTCTATCTGTTAACCAAACATTTTTGTAAAAGTCATATAATTCGGTTTTGTTTTTCCAGCGTGGTTCTAGATATAGTTTAGAAGAGGATTTTCGACAGTAATGAGATTCTAGCTTTGGCAAATTGCTAAAAAAATCTCTAACTGATTCTTTTTTCTCATTATTTTTTAACTGCTTTTTTTTGTCGAAATCATTACTTTCAGTTTCTACATCATCACGTTTTTTTGTTTCTGGTGAACTAAGGCTCCTATTTAACCAATGAGTGATAGTTCTCATGGACACACCAAGCATGTTGCTAAACATTGTTTTGCAAACCCTTACTCTTTCCGTTTTCTTGTCAAGAAAAAAAGAATAAGAGCATTTTCTTCGGCTCTCCCCTTCAGATTTTCGGTTTCTGGACCTTTTGATGCTAGAGGCAATCGCTCTTCCACTGACAAATATTTTTTTTTCTTCCTATGTGAAGCTGCAAAATTTTTGAAATATCTGTTGTCGGTCTTCTTCGCTTAGGATAGAACATTTAAAAGCTATTTTTTTTACCCTTTTTCTTTACACGTACATCTAATTTTCAATGTTCTTTCATTTTTCTGAACTACAAATTTGTTATCCTTTCTTCCCATGTATGAAGCCCCTTCTTGTCGCTTTTTCTTGTTAGTATTACATTCCCAATCTTGACTGTCGCTCAATCTGTTTTTCTTCCTTTTTCGCTTTTTATTCTCACTATTTGAAGCAGCGTTTTCTACCCCCTCTGAGCTACTCTCTCGTTCAATAATTATTTCCGAGATTATTTCTTTATCTTCATTTAACCCAGAATTTTTCTTTTCCACAGCATTTCTATCAATATTGTTCTCAAAATCAGTTGAATCTCCTATTTCATTTTCATTGTTGTTTCTAGAAACATTACTAAAGTTTGTGCGGTTATTTTTTTCTAGTTTTTCTTGGTCGCTATTCAAAATATTATTATCCTGCCTTACATTGGCGTCTTTGTAATTAGCCTCTTCAAAAGTTATATCGGCGTTGTTCAGAGTATCTAGGTCTATAAAGGCATCTAAAGTATCAGTATTATCGAGTCCAATGAATTCCTTGACAAAATCTTCATTGCCGGTTATGTTGGGATCAATATTTTCTTGTAAATCTACTGTAGAAACATTAAGAATTTTCTGGGCCTGAATACACTCTTCTTTTAAACTTTTTATTGCATCGGATACATCTTCTGATTTTAGGGAAATTGTAACATCGCTTAAAACGACAACTTTTGGCTCGGATTGTTGAAACTGTTGATTGACATCAGTAACGTTTGGTTGTACTAAGGAAGCACCATCTTCATCTCCACTTCTAAACTTCGCCTTGCTTAGTATTTTATAGCTTCTTGAACTCTTATTCATTCTGAAAAAATATTTAAGGCTGTATACGTGTACGAAATAATGTAAATTTTAATATGAAAGTGCTGAAAGTGGCGTAACTCTATTAAGATTAAAAATGAAAAATGCTTAAGTTCTATGTCTCATTTGTTACCAAATTTACTTACCTGAACTACTTAACAAGTAATTACAATAATTGTTTCACTAAAAAACTTATTTTTAAACGAATGAAAGCAACAAGCTGTAAACACGTGCTTTTAATTGACATTCAAAGTATAGAATGTTGGACTTACGCAATATTTACGTTGCTTCAGATAATGTCGGATTTAGGCAACATTCAATTCATTATTTTGTGCCGCCATCTAGTAAGTAATAGCTAAAATGTATTGTTGGTTTATGAAGTTCGAACTGCTTAACAAGATGGCATTAAAATCCAGATTTTGATAAAAACTGGACTTACGCAATTTTCATATGAGGCCGACGATATAGGATGTGTTAAAATGGGGAGTAACGGTTTTCTCACGTTTTTAAATGGAATACTTTATAAATTATACCACCCACTAATTGATACAGGGTAATCCATTTAAAAAATAGAGAAAATCGTAACCTCACGATTTGACACACCCTATATACAACATAGCAAATGAGTGAAGTTAATTAAAATTGTTTGACGATGTGATAACAATCAAATATGAATAACTACCTGCAGGGTGTTTTGCCTTAAAAAAGTATAGGTTTGGTCAGCACCTCGTTTATGGCCACCTTGTATATTTAGGGGTAATTGTTAAATATGGCCTTACATTTTTTATATTAATTTTTTTTAGTATTTCTTATAATAAAACAGCTATCAATCCATTACGCACTAATGGGACACCCTGTATATGTGTTATTGGCTAAAATGTTGGTATCGTTGAATAGGTTAATGTATTATGAATTTTATGTCAAAATATACATTCAAAAAAAATTGTGTAAATTGAACTTAAAATTAGCCATATTTAAGGCACGTTTCAAAACACTTTGCATAAAATAAACCAGTTCTATCACCAGTATTCGTTAGCTTAGTATCATATAAGTATGTATATTCAACAATTTTTAAATCAGTGTAAACCTACCTAAATTATGATATTTAATTTGGGGTTAGCATCATTCTCTAATTTAAAAAAATATTATTGTTTGGCAAAACTGTAATATTTTTTCAAAACATGCTAGGGTTGAATATAGTGTTAACAAGCCATTCTAAAAATAAAATATAATATTAAAAAAAAACATAAATTTTTATTTGCCAGGCAAAAAACGTCTATAACACAAATTAAAATATGGAACAATTACGCCCTGTATAAACAGATTCGTTTATTGACCTACGTTAGGTTTAGGCTGTTTTTATTTTTATTAATTATTCCTCCTAGCTGCTAAAGTTACCTATTGAGCTAGGAATTCTAAATTTGTTTAATTGTGTAGATGATAGTCTAATAATTAACTTATTTAAACCTAAACACATAATGTTTTTCAGGGCTAGGATATGGGCAATGAAAGCCAATCGGGAAGACCTTTTGGAGAAATTGGACGATCCATACAAAAGTTACAAGCTGTGTGAATGTCATTTAATTACGAGTATTAAAACTAAAATCCTAAAAGTGTCGGTGAAGATGAGGACAGAGCATCTGCCTTCCACGAGAAAAGCCGGGATCGAATCTAGGCCGGGGACTAATTAAATTTATTTTATAAATTAGTAAAATTCGTAAATTATTTTAAAATTAGTTATTTTGTCTAAATAACCTAAAATAATTTATTTTAATTTGTAGATTTTCGTCAGTGGGTCGTAGAAAAAATATACTGTACAACTCGAGTGGAGTGTCCATATCCACTCTTGTTGCACAAACTACTATTTATTTGTTTTCTAGGTTTAATGTTTACATCAGTAAATAGGAACTAAATTAATTTACTTTTCGAGTTTTCTTGTAAAAATCGATATTACTTTCTCCAAGTGCAAATTTAGTACCTACCTAAAATAGGTACTAATTATATAATTTCGCATAATATTGTAATCTAAATTTCACATTACTATCAAGTTTCAAAATTCTCTACTTCGGTACGGTCAGATAAAAATATAATACATAAATTAAAACTGTCAAATTTTTACTTCTACAAATCTTTATGAATAAAAATACATCTAAATAAAACCGATATTGTTAAAATAAAAGCACAAGTTACCGATTCTTTATAATAACCCAGAATATCATCGAGTTCTCAGACCTCAGTCAGTCGAAGCAGTGGTTTATCTAGGTATAAACACTATAAACCATTTGCGCGATGAATGACACTTGCCAGACACACGGGGTACCACTTGATTTGCATTCACGGCCACAATTTGTCGTGAAGTGACTGTTTCAGCTTAAAACATCTGTTAACAAGGATATTACTAGCCACATACAAATTATTTTATCTCTAATCCGAAAGATGTGCTGTTATTCGTAATATTTATATTTAAATAATTTTTTTTATATATATTTGATAGATTTAAAACAAATTTAAAACTTAATTTCTCAAAACTTACTTAATGTGGCATGTAACCAACCTTATTACGCCAAGGTCTTCAATTATTTCAATAAAATAGTATATTATATTACGAGTGTGGAAAGTGACATTTTTCACACGAGTGGGAAATATTGTCTATCACACGAGTGTGGAAAATCACTTTTCACACAAGTGATGTACAATATTTTTCCTACGACCACTAAATAATTTCATAAAAAAATGTAAAACCAGATTATTATAATTAAAATGTGTTTAAAAAAGTAATCAACAATAATCGTATTTAAGGTAGTTCACTCGCGACAGTCGTACACAAAAATATCGCCCTATAGTGAATACCAACCGTTCGAAATTCTTAAATCTAAGGAAAGATTATTTTTGTAACAGACTGTACACACAACACATGTACAAATGTGGTATTATATCGAGTAAAATCCATCCGGCAACATCGCAAATATATTGTGAAACGTCAACTGTATTCCTAAAGTAAAATAAATGTAAATATCAAAATGTTTCATTGTCGTCAGAATCAATTAATTGCGAGATAAAGGAAAATTTGCTAAGCAGAACGTCCCCAACAAACGCAAAAAATCAATTTTGGCTATGAATAATGCAAAAAAATTGAGAAAGGAAACCCCAAGCTTGAGAAATAACCTGTGCAATGGTCGCATCGTGGGATTACGAGAGTTGGGAAAACATTTAAAATGTTGCTTGTGTGAAAGAGTTCTTTCTCTTGAAAATATTACAAATGAAACACGAAAGGGCCTTTATTCAATTTTAAATGTTAAATGTAATCAATGTAATATTGAAACTATAGTACCTACGGACAAAGTTCATGCAACAAAAAGTGAAGTTAAGCATTCAGATGTCAACACCAAAGCAGTTCTAGGTAAATTTTAAAAAATACATAAGTATTTGTTATGTTTATAATTTTTTTATTATAATTAATATATTCTTATTTATTTAAAGGTGCTGTCCTTTCAGGGTTTGGTCAAACTGCTTTAAATAAATTTCTTGCTGTCATGAACGTTCCTACGATATCATCAATACTACAGAAAATCATTACTTTTATTTGTATTTTTTTATGACTTCCTCATACTAGTAAGTTAAAATTTCAAATTACTTTATATTCATTTTTTTGTGTAACTGTATTTTATTTTGAAGGCATGTTTAAATAAAATTATATTCATCTTTTGCATATTTATTTAATTTTGAAGACATGTTTAAATACAATTAAATTTAAATTGTTAAATCATATCAACCTAAAGTATAAACAACGTCCCTTTCCAGAAGGCCTCCATAAAGTGATAAACTTGACCTGTCCGCCGCAATAAAAAGGTTGAGAAGCACTGATCTAACAGACATTTGAATTAGCGGGCGTTGGGTGTATCGATTACAACGTTGCCAGCTTGTAATCACAATACGCCACTATGCGTCGATTGCTTTAAGAACATTTTTATTTTAAAAATCTATATTTTTTTATCAAAGCGGTAAAAAATTCAGCGTTTTTTTAGAAAATTTTATAACTTCTTGATTTACATTACATTAGTTTTTAAATAATATGGTAAGAACCGTTTTCGAGATATCTTGAAATAAATGCAATGATTGTGTACATGGCAGGGCTTCAAGAGTGTTAATTATGCACATTTTGATTGTTAATATCTCGTTTTACAGACGGTCAATTTTTTTTATTTTTTTTAGGTACATAAAAGACACTTTCATTAACCTCATATTTCAATTTTATTGAATTCTTAAGAAAGGCCGTTTTACGAGTGAACTACCTTAATTAATTTTTATAATTTCTAAACAAATAAAAAATTAAAAAACAAAAAAAAAATCTGGCACAGCCAGGATTTGAACGCGGTCTCTAGACAGTCTCAAATTGCAAAGTTCACGCTCTAACCAACTGAGCTAACAGGCCTTATGGCAATTGATTGATCTAATCGCTTATGTGTTTAACCTGAATAAAAAGCAAATATATCTTAGTTATTTTAAAATTATTTTAATAATAATTGTTAAAGATAAATACCTAGGATCTAATTTACAATAATTTCAATAATTTAACAATCATATCGATTTTAGTATTAATATGGACATTACATAGATCAAAATAGAATTTATGTGTTTGACATTTTCTGACAGCTACTGCGGAAAGTAGCATATTCGTACGCGGGTGAAAAGTAAATTCTTATTCATACGCGTGTGATATAGGGCACTTTCCATAGGACTATATAGTGTGATATGTGTAACTTTCCTGAGTGGTCGTAGGAAAAATATATTTTTTAATCCGGGCCCGACTTTTCCATCTAATCTAACAGAGATAGCACCATTCTGTCTCGCTTGGTTCTCGACCGCCACATCAAAGACGCCGACACGGAGTTGTGGAGCTGTATTGTATAAGCTGTAGATTTGTGTTCAGTTTGTATGCCTCAATATAGGTTCCCATTCCATTTCTCCAACGAAAACATAACTACATTGTCAACAAGACAAGACGTTACTGAGTACTTAGTACTCAGTACTAACAGTTTGTCGAATGTCGAACGTCGAAAATACATCCGCACACTAAGGGCTCTTTCAGACACAACGATTTCGTCCGTACGGAAAAAATTCGTACGGATTTTTTCCTTGCGTCGTTGATAGTAAACTAATAAAATTAACTGCAGCTTTCATACTGGACGGAGACGGATTTTTTTCATAGGGTCGATTTGAAAACAGCCTTGACACGGTTTTCAAATCGTGTCAACGGCTGAATTGTACGGTACCGTACCGTCGCCGTCTATCAGTGGCCTATGTAAGTTTATGCAGGCTTTCATATATGACGATTTTTAGCCGTCTGCCGTCCGTTATTGCGTGCCGCTTGGTTTTTATTTATCATAAATATTTTGTATCTTGGTTTACGCGTCGATATGACCATGAATGACAATATAAACTAGAAGTTTGACATATTAAATTTTTGTTTTGATTTTGTAGTTAATAAACTAGTAACGAAACAAACATAGAACTCTTTTACTTCAGAGTCACAACTATTATTTCCATAGGTTCAACGCAGTTTCTCATTTTAAAATTATGCCTGAATATTGTTTTCTATTCGGTTATGAAGCTCATCAGAGGATACAATGGACATTTTCGTCTGCACGTAAATCTTCCATTTAGCAAATGAATGGGCCCACTTCATCTCTTTTCTGATCAATTGGGTGCACCTAGTATATACGATTATGTAGTTTCCGATAATTTTGTATATGACGGTACAAAAGCCACATGGCAATGGTGCGCTTTCGATTCATGTCGATAACCAACTGACATAAAATACAATAGCTAAAGACGGTTCACGAAAAAGAAAACCGTCGAGTGTGAATTCTACCAAGACACGGAAAAAATTCGTACGAATTTTCTCCGTACGAACAAAACCGTTGTGTCTGAAAGAGCCCTTAAGTCGATCGACTGTTCTTTAATGTTTACCGACAGGCGATGGAAAGCAAATAGACATATCTATCGATTTATTTTGTCGATCGACACCGTCGATTGCCGCGTACACACAAAGTCGACAATGTCGACAGACAGTCAATCGACAGTGTTGATTCGGTGAGGACGCACCTTAACACAGACTTGCCGTAAACTGTTATGTAGAGTCTCTTCAAACGCAAGTAAAACATCTAGTTCCTTGTTTTATGATATTTGTTGTTTGATGTTTGTTTTCTACTGCATTTTAGATTTTTCTTACATGATAGTTTACAAACCTCAATTTACTTAAAATTATTAATATGTTTCAAAAGATAATTAAAAGTCCTTTCAAATGATAAATCGCATGAACCACACAGTTGACGGGTTTCAGATCTAACTAGAAGTCAACATTTTATGATATAATAAATACGAGAATATTCCATTCATTAAAACCATACTGTATAACTACTTTATTGTCTAGAAGAATGTTATATTATATATGAATGTCTTTTTCGAATTTACGGCTACGAAATGAATGTGGCTGACGGTAAACGTAAATGTCATGAATATAGTCGGAGTCATAACACCCACCCAGTAATAAAGCTATACAACGTTTCGTTTTATGGGCCCTTAACAGCGTATACTTAAACGGCGTTTTTGTTTACGGCCCTTTAGACGTTTTTCAAATGTATAGCCTGCGCTAAATATCATTGTAAATAACGTCTTTGTAAAGTAGTACAAAATAATGAACAGCTGTGGCAAATACTGTTCCTTATTTAAGTTAAGCAGTTCAATTTCATCTGTTTTAGTTAAATTTTCATTTTAATATTTTAAACAAAGTTATTAGTATTTTTTCAATACATAGTTTAAGAAAAATGATATTTTAGCTAATTTCGTTTGTGTTAATTCATAATTGTGTAGTTAAGTACCAATTTTTTATAAAGTAAGTTGATGTGCGCGTCAGGGGCATTCCAATCCGGAGGTGCAAGGGGTGTGGGTGTGGTTGTGGCTGGTCAAGGGGGCGGCGAGTGACGATAAAAAAATAATAATTTAAATATTTATTAGTACTACTTTTATTGGTAAAATATTATCTTAAAAATTCATTTAACAAATGTAACTGAAAATAAACAAAACAATATTGACTTTAAAAACGCTATTTGACGTCGCAAGTAGTCAGGGATTAAAAAAAAATGAACGCGTTTTAACTCATCATTAGAAAACCAAGATCACAGGCGTGTATCGCAACATTACCTTGCCTTGCTAAATTATAGATTGGTCGGTTGTGTTTGCGATGTTCTGGTAATTAGATGGACAGGAGGGGGGTGACGTTGCTGCACGCGGTATTTGTCATGTTGCAGGAAAATACTTGTTTATGCCCTGAGCCTATAAATACACCGCGATCCCGGATAATGTGAAATATATTATTTTTAAACGTGTTAACCTCAACAACTGAAAATAAAGCTTTTGGTCCTTAATTTGTGCTTGATTTTGTGACGGCTGGCTAATAAAAAAATTTCATAGGTAAGTAGACTTAATATTTTCTTTCGCACGGTTAAAAATTAAAATAATACATTTATAGTGTTTTAATATTTGTTTTGCAAAAAACACCCTAATAATCTCTAGTCTTTTAATTTTTTTGTTACGCAGCCTAGTTTTTTAAATAAAAATTAAAAATGAATATTACATTTTATCAATTTGCTGATATCAATTTTTGGAAAACTGGAGTTTGTAGCTGATTATTTTTCTATTTTTTTTTTCTATTTTCCTAAAATTAAAAACTAATTGAGTTTTGTAGTAAACCGTTTTCCAATAATATTTTTATTTCGAACTTGTGAAAATATTTTCCTCTTTATTATATAGCTGTAACCAACGGTAGCCTGGATTAGCCAAGCTTTAACTCGCTTTTTTACGTGTTCTGCAACTAAGTATGAAAGAAAAGTCGTGCGGTTACTAGCAAAAGGTTGGACTATTTGTATTATACATTTTACTAAGTAAAGAAAAATATATACAATTTGATTGATATGCGAATATGATTTTAATTAATTTCAAAATTATATCAAAATTCATGAATATTTTGAGAAATATCTCGAGTCGAAAAGAATGGACAATTTTTAAAATATTACTAATAACAGATTATATTAATTTTTAATTTATTTTTGCTAATTTGAAATCCTAATGTATTAACACCACACAATATCTTTTCGACTATACTCACCCCATAATGAGTTGGTAAGTAAAAGTATTTTTAAAGCAGCTTGGAAGGCCATGGAACAAGCAGGACTGGAAGAATTGCAATTAGCAAAAGATATTGGAGAAGTAGATGAACAAGGACATGGTCTAACCCGAGAATGTCTAACTGCAGTGATTGTTGACGGCGTATGGTCTAAGCGGTCATATAAAGTTAATTATAACGCTTCAGCTGTAGTTGTAAGTTTATATTTTAATATA